AATTGTTTCCATGTGTCTTTGGTTTTTTCATTCTTCTTTTCTCTGGATGAGGAGAGACCCATCATTGCATCTAGATTGTTGCTTACAAGGTTTTATGATCCCAGTCGCTATTCACCAAAGTAGGATGTGGAACAATGTTTTGGTGTAGTATGTTATGGTCAGCATAGTTTTTAAGATTCACAGAAGCAGCTGAAGTTCAAAAACGGGCAATGCAAAGGAGAAGCTCATTTTCTTGTCTAGAAAAACAAGTGTTTCTCTGTGTATCATCTTTTAAGTCTTTTCTAATTCCTTCTCATTTCCTCACCTGGAATCTGGGACTAAAGAGGGCTTGTGACTAGGTCCTGGGAGGAATGACAAGTACTTTACATTCTCATGGAGCTCTGGTGGCACAGTGGTTAAGGCATTTGGCTGCTAACCAAAAGGTCAGTGGTTCAAACCCACTGGCTGCTCCATGGGAGAGGAGACTGAGGCAGTCTGCTTCCATAAAGATTTACAGCCTTGGAAACCCTATGGGGCAGTTCTGCTCTGCCTGATAGTGTCACAATGAGTCAGAATTAAGTCCATGGCATTGGGTTTTGTTTTTTGGTTACATACTTGATTGTACCAAAGGTACATTAATAACACACTTGAGGGTGAAATGAACTCTTTTGTAAAAGCTAGATACAGAGAGACTCAAGAGAGACAATGATGAGGTCCTGTGCCTGCTTGGGCCTGTTTTAAATCAGTTTCTGCCTCTGAATTTCCAAGACTACCAAAGAGCTGTCTTTGAGCTGTGGGAGCCTCTTCAAACATGGCCTCACATAAAGTTGATTCCAGGTATTGCAAATGAGATCTTAACAGTGGAGTCAAAAAATACTGATGCAGGTATGGGTTTTCAATATGTAGAAGCACTATAATTCCCACCTGGAAAGAACTCTTCAGAAAGCCTAGAGCAGGAGAAGATTGAGCCCTCCAAGAAGCCTAAAGAGAAGGGAAGAGATTAAATAAGACAGCAAGATCAGTCTAAAATGGAAGGAGGGGCAGAATATAGGACATCTCTGTGGGATAGTAGCAGGTGGGTGGGAAGGTAGTCTCCATGGTAACAAGTCTCCACAGCAGCAAATCCCAGGAGGTGGGTGGGAAGGTAGTCTCCATGGTGATATGTCTCCTCAGCAGCAAATCCCAGTGGGTAGGCGGGAAGACTTGTTTCTGTGGTAACACACTGCACTGACTTCCCTATTTCTCCTTCAGACCAAAGAGATGGGCTTACCCAGTGGATTTCCAACTTTAGCAGGCATCAGAATCATCTGAAGGCCTTGTAAGAAATAGGTTGCTGGGTCCCATTGCCAAAATTTTCTGATTCATTAAGTGTGGGAAGAAGGAGAATAATGACCTGCCCTGAGAATGAGGGGAAGAGGCTAATCTGAGGTCTTATAAAGAAGTGGATATGGACTGATTTATACAAGAAGTGCAGAGAGAGCATAGGGATTGTTCCCTCTTGGGATCTTCACTTCTGTAAGAGAGAAAAGGAGAAAGATAAGTAATTGGATCTATAATGTGCTGAGCATGTTATATGTTCTCATGTTTATTTTATCCTTGTTATAACCCTATGAGGTATTTTTATCCCCACTTTACAAAAGAGGAGATTAGGACCCAGAGATTTTAAATAAGTTGCCCAAGCCATTAGCTACATGGCTAATGAATGACAGAACCAATACTCAAACCCAGGACTGTCTGACTCCAAGGTCCCTGCTATTTCACTGTCTCTTGCCAGGTACTACAGTAATGTCCCTGAATACTACATCAGGGCTACAGTTTAAATCTCCTAATGGGAGGCATCCACTTTACATGATCTGAAAATTCCTCCTTCTAAACTGGATATGGGTGAGGGGCAGGGAGCCAGTCATTCCTATGTTGATGATTCCTTGTAGAAAGGAACAATGGTTTATGTTAGCTAGGTAGAAAGAGCTACACTACATGTGCATCCATTGTCCTTGCCTTCCCCATCATAACCTAAGTCCTTGACCCCTCCACCTTCACTATTTTCATGCACTTTTTTGAATCCAGGTTTCCTGAGCACTGGCGATCAGGCTGCCAAAGGCAACTATGGGCTTCTTGACCAAATCCAGGCCCTCCGCTGGGTGAGCGAGAATATTGCCTTCTTTGGTGGAGATCCCCGCCGTATTACTGTCTTTGGCTCTGGCATTGGTGCATCCTGTGTCAGCCTTCTCACACTGTCACATCACTCTGAGGGTGAGTAGCTCATGGATCAAAACATGAACTAGAAAAGTGCTGGCTGCCCACTCTGAACCTCAGGACTTCAGGCTCCAGAATGCCCATCTCTATGCCCCAGGAGTACCCTGGAGATTCAGCCTGCCTCTTCTGCCAGCTCAGTATCTCTTTTGGGGAGAAGTGGAAGGGAAATGTTTCTCTGGGGAAAGAAAGAATTCTTCCAATGTAAGAGAGGAAGGAGAGAAACCTATTTATATCCTGAGAAAATAAAATTCTCCTTTTGTTGTGGAAGTCTTATTTGAGAGAGTGGGAATAGATTGCCCCTCTCTGAAGGGACAGTAGTTCTTTCTGAGCAAGGGAAATCTTTCCATTTGGGAAGGGTATATTGCTTTAGAGTATAGGCCTAGGGTGGAAATTAGTTCCTAGGTGTAAGAAACACTCATTCTCTGCCTTTCCAAGAACAAGTCTGTACAAGTGAGGAAATGTGCTTGAGGGAGGAGGTGGGTCTGAAGTGAGAATCACTAACCTGTGAACTGGGTTTCTTCTGAGGGATTATAATCAAGACCTCCTCCAGGGCTATACCCCCTCCTTAAGGGAGACTCTCATTTTTAGACTCTTTCCTTGTGGTGGGTCCCTCTGCCAATCAACTCTTCCAAGGGGGCCAAATCAACCATTTTTGCTTGAAAGGAAATGTTCACTCCACCTTTAGACTATAGAGAACAATCTGTCTCTGAGAGTAAAGCCAAGCTTCTCACAAAGAAAAAAAAATCTTCCTGAAATAGGTGCCCTTCTCTGAAGTCAGGGAATCTGTGAGTAAGGACAGGTTTTTTTTTCATTGAAATGGACCCCAAGAATTGGTGATATTCTCACAGGAGGACTCTAATCTCCCTTTAAAGAAGTGTGTTTCTCTGAGAGAGAAAAATCACATTGTCTGATCTAGAAATTCTGTCTCTGTCCCTTCAGGGACTGCCCTGGTGAGAGACTAAGGTGATATCTGCACCTCTAAAGAAAGAGAATATATTTCTAGGTGACAGTAGTAGGAACAGGAATCTCCTTTACTCGAAAAGGAGGGTAAATGACTGGCTGGGAGGGTGTCTCCATCTGAAAAGAAGGAATGGTGCCTTCTCTGATTAGGGACTATTTGCCTGGGAGAAGTCCTTTTCTGGAATGTTGTCTCAGAAGGAGCCTGTGTCTCTGGCGGCCTGACTTCTTTAAAGATTTGTTCTCTCTGTCTTTCTGTAATTGACTCTTGGAGAATAGTCTTTAGAAAAATGAAGCTCTCTCATAAGTAGTAATCTATATTTCTCACCCTCTCTTTCCTCCCATGCAAAGTTAAAGGAATGAAATTATACGTCTCAGAGCCAAATTCTCTCTCTTGGGAATGTTAGGGCCACTGAAAGAATTATGTCTATTTATTTCCCCCCTAAGAAGGGAAGAATCATCTTCTCTTTGAGCTTGGGAGACTGGCTCCCTCTCAGAGGAGAATCTTGATCTGAGGCATCAGTAGCCTCAGTAAAAGGACTCTCTCCTTGTGGAGACAACAGATTTGCACGGTACATTCATTTCCTGGAGACTTTCAGACCCCAAGGCCTTTGCCCTGGGGATCCTTCACCAAAATCCCAGAATATGAGGCTCTCTCCTGACTGCATTTCTCATTTCTCATGAAAAAAGACTCCTTTGTGGTGTAAGCAGCAGCTCCCTGGTGGTACGCTGGCACAGAGCTGGACCCAGCTGGGCAGGAAGCAAGAGGGAAAGACAACGAGAGATAAAGAAAGGGAGCATAAGTAAGCTGATGTCTGGGATCCAAGAGGTTAATTCTTCCTGACATTTCCTTAACCCCCAAGCTACCAACCAACTAGGACATGGAAGCAGTAGAAGAACTGCAGGGGGCCAATCAGGGAAGGGGTACACAGCAGCCCTTACTCTGGTTCTAACCCATTATATTTAGCCAAAAGAGTCATATCTCCTTCCTAGCCCATTAAAACAATAGGGCAACCTCAGTAACAAAAGAATGAGAAGATGTTTTATTTGTTCCTCAGAGACAGGTAAGGGAGGCCTAGACTATGGGGAACACAACAGATCTGACCTGGTGCTGCCTGTCTTCTGTAGGGCTTTTCCAGAGAGCCATCATCCAAAGTGGTTCTGCTCTGTCCAGCTGGGCTGTCAACTACCAACCAGTGAAGTACACTAGCCTACTGGCAGACAAAGTGGGCTGTAACGTGCTAGACACAGTGGATATGGTGGACTGTCTTCGGCAAAAAAGTGCCAAGGAGCTAGTAGAGCAAGACATCCAGCCAGCCCGCTACCATGTAGCCTTTGGCCCTGTGATTGATGGTGATGTCATTCCTGATGACCCTGAGATCCTCATGGAACAGGGCGAGTTCCTCAACTATGACATCATGTTAGGTGTCAACCAGGGTGAAGGTCTCAAGTTTGTGGAAGGGGTAGTGGACCCTGAGGATGGTGTCTCTGGCACTGACTTTGACTATTCAGTCTCCAACTTTGTGGACAATCTGTATGGCTATCCTGAGGGTAAAGACACCCTGCGGGAGACCATCAAATTCATGTACACAGACTGGGCAGACCGTGACAACCCCGAGACTCGCCGTAAAACACTGGTGGCACTCTTCACTGATCACCAGTGGGTGGAACCCTCAGTGGTGACTGCTGATCTGCATGCCCGTTATGGTTCACCTACCTACTTCTATGCCTTCTACCATCACTGCCAGAGCCTCATGAAGCCTGCTTGGTCAGATGCAGCTCATGGCGATGAAGTACCCTACGTTTTTGGGGTCCCTATGGTAGGTCCCACTGACCTCTTTCCCTGCAACTTCTCCAAGAATGACATTATGCTCAGTGCTGTCGTCATGACCTACTGGACCAACTTTGCCAAGACTGGGTAAGGAGATATGGGGATTCTTCTTCTTTGGGACCCCAGCATGCCCTCTGCTCCTCTATTCAAACCTCTTCCATTATCTCACTTCCTAAGATCATCCCAAAATCTTGCTTGGTAACTCCATCACTCTGCTTCTTACCTTCCCCCACTCAAGTCTTTCATGCCATTTTCCTTCCTTCAGAAATTATGTCGAAGCTCAGGACTTGGTTAGCATTAGGACTGAGCAGGAATGAGAGTAACTGGCAGAACTATGGGATTCCAGGTTAGATGGTCAGAGACCATGAGAAGTGGGAATAAAGTACATTCAGAAAGAGCCTTTTAAGGGCCCTGGAGAAAACTGGGCAGCTAAAAAAACTGATGGATGCTCAGTGGCATGTGATTAAAAAAAAAAAAAAAGCATTTATAGCATGCTCTGGTGGTGTAGTGCCTAAGGCATTTGACTGCTAACTAGAAGGTTGGTGGTTCAAACCCACCAGCTGCTCTGCAGAAGGAAGATGGGACAATCTACTTCCGTAAAGATTTACCACCTCAGAAACCCAATGGGGGTTGCTATGAGTCGGACTCGACTCGATGGCAGTGAGGTTTTTTTTTTTTTTTTGTAGCATGCCTTTAGAGGATGAACACAGGGAAGGATGAGATGGTTTCCATGATGCCATGGGGAATAAGAGTTCAAGTCCTGGGTAAGAAAGGGGTATGGACAGAGGGAGGGACCCTGCAAAAGACAGAAACGGTGGAAGGTTTTGGACTGGGGAAGAGGTTTAGGGGTGGGTGTGAGAAAAAGAATGCTGGGCCCTTTTCTCATTCAGGTAGAGTGGTGACCCCAGATTTCCATGTGGTATTTCAGGGATCCCAACAAGCCGGTCCCCCAGGATACCAAGTTCATTCACACCAAGGCCAACCGCTTTGAGGAAGTGGCCTGGTCCAAATACAATCCCCGAGACCAGCTCTACCTTCACATCGGGCTGAAACCAAGGGTCCGCGACCATTACCGGGCCACTAAAGTGGCCTTTTGGAAACACCTGGTGCCCCATCTATACAACCTGCATGACATGTTCCACTATACGTCCACAACCACCAAAGTGCCACCCCCGGATACCACCCACAGCTCCCACATTACCCGCAGGCCCAATGGCAAGACCTGGAGCACCAAGCGGCCAGCCATCTCTCCTGCCTACAGCAACGAGAATGCCCAAGGGTCCTGGAATGGGGACCAGGATGCAGGGCCACTCCTGGTGGAGAACCCTCGTGACTACTCCACTGAATTAAGTGTTACCATTGCTGTGGGGGCCTCTCTCCTGTTCCTTAATGTTCTGGCCTTCGCTGCCCTCTACTACCGTAAGGACAAACGGCGTCAGGAGCCCCTGCGACAGCCTAGCCCTCAGAGAGGTGCTGGGGCCCCTGAATTGGGAGCTGCTCCTGAGGAGGAGCTGGCAGCATTACAGCTGGGCCCCACCCATCATGAGTGTGAGGCAGGTCCCCCCCATGATACACTGCGCCTCACTGCACTGCCTGACTATACCCTGACCCTGCGGCGCTCCCCTGATGACATCCCACTCATGACCCCAAACACCATCACTATGATTCCCAACTCCCTGGTAGGGCTGCAGACATTGCACCCCTACAACACCTTTGCCACAGGGTTCAACAGTACTGGGCTGCCCCACTCACACTCCACTACTCGGGTATAGCTCCAGCTCAGAGCACAGCCTGTCTCTTGGCTCACTCCCTCCCAGATCCACAAATACGTGCACACAGAGACACACACACACAGAGTACACGTACAGACATATATGTATAAGCACGCACCCACACCCTACAGCAGACCAGCCTGCACAAATAGACAGATATGGACATGCACCTGCATGTACAAAAAGACAAATACTGAAATAAACCTGAGCAAATGCTTCAAGTGGGGATGCAAAAGAGTCCTTAGTAAACTGAGGACTTACAGAACAACATCTGAAGCCAGCTCCCTGAGCCTGACTACAGACACTCCTGGGGGGCCTGAAAGCAACAACTGGACATCCCCTTGGTGCTCGCCTTCAGCCTCTCTTGGAACTGCACCACCAATCCACTCCAGATTTGGGAGCTTTAAGGAGCAGAGTAGCTTTTCCTCCCCTATACTTGGTCTTTTTCTGGGTCTTGTTTTTGTCGATTTAAAAAAAAAAAATGGAACAAATGCTTCTTCAACCCGTAAGTGCAACAAGGCTCTGGAGGGGAGGGCTCCAGGCCCAGGTCTCTCTGGCTTTGGAACCCCTTGTGTTCACACAATCGGACCAAGGAGCAGGACCCCCCCAAGAAAGACACAGATTTGAACAAGACCATGAGGTGGAAGGAGGAAGAGGCTAACAATGGATGGGGTTGAAGGGCCATATGAGAGAGCTCTTCAACCATCTCTGTGTCCCTTTGGAGGGATGTGCAAACTGCAGGGTGACCTGCTTCCCCCAAAAGCCAGCAGCATTGGTCTGGCTAGACCAGGGGATCCTAGATTTGGTGAATGAGGTTCTAAGGAGGTCATGTCATTATTGAGCCCCTGTGCTCTGCCTTTACCTTTGGGGTAATGCTATCAGAAATTCACCCCATTTTCTTTACAGAGTCTCTTTTGTGTCTGTCCTTTCTCTTTCAAAAAGGCGTTTTTTTGTTGTTGTTGTTGGCTTTTTTTTTTTTTAAAGAAAAATTCTTAAAACACTAACAGAAACCCATGGAGTTTGTCCTTTGTAAAAATTTTAAACACAGTGTCTTGATATAAAAATAAAAAAATCCAGTTAGCACTCCCAACCTGCCTCCCTCGCACAGGCCTTGCCCCAAAAGACCTCCAAGCAGGGTGCCTCTGTGAGCTAGAAATTAGGCACTCTTCTTCTGCCTCTCTTAAGCTGATGTAAGTCTGGGTTTCAGTCTGCTGGCCCCCTGCACAAAGACTCCACCAGTCCTCATCCAGTTGCTGTGCCTGCCCCCCCCATCACCCGCATACTCTGGGTTCCTGCAGCTGAAGCCTTCTCTAAGCACCTCGGGCCTCCTTATGAAACAACAAAAATACTTTCTTCCTTCTCTGCTGCCACTGCTGCTGCCTCCTCTGCCCTCATCCTGGACTGAGGGGCTGGGAGGAGGTTTGACCTCTAACATGCTGAAATTGTTTATTGTATTTGAATCAAGTAGCAGCATCAGACATGTGGATATTCTGTCCTTGAGTGACTGACAAAGCAGAGGCAGTCTCCTTCCTCAAGGATATTTGTTTCCTGTTCTGTGAGTTAGAATTGGAAAAATCATTAGGGCCCCAGGAGCAGTTTCTCTTCAGGATTGTGATCAGTGGCTCCCTATAAAGTCTGGGGGATGAGTTCAGTGGGGCCTCATAAGGTTAGCATTATGGTATTTCATATTCTCCATGACTTGACGGATTGGACTAACAGACTGTTCATCAAGTATGACATTTAGGCAGGTTTGCTGAAACCTCAGAAACCAGGAATAGAATTCTTCAAAGTGACCCTAACAAAATGAGAGAGATGTACTATCACAACCAGGATGCTGTTCAGAGGGGATGAACACAAGGTAGTATGTATAAAGACCAAAAGCCAGAAACAATATACTAATATTGTACATGGGTACAAGAGAGATGGGCAATGCTTGACTTGACACAAAGTTAAAACAAAATTTTAAAAAATAAGGACTAGGGGGAGAATGTCAGGTATATCACAAGTTGAATGAGTCCATAGTGTAGAACTGGTTTTCTCCTTTCCTTCTTCCTTCCTTGAATGTCCCCCTCTTCTCTTTTTTTTCTTTCCAAAACGAACATATTAACATATAGTAACAAAAATAAGGTGTGGAGTAGCTGGGAAGTAATCAGAGTCTGAGTTTTAGAACTAACCTCGGAGTCATCTAGTCTAGCACCTCATTTTACATTTGGGGAAATGGGCCCAAAAAAGTCCAACATCACATCATAGTTAGTGTTAGAAACAGACCTAGAATGCAATCTAGTAACATACAAACCTCCCCACTGTCCAACTCAACTTTTTCCACTCCACTGACTATTGGTTAGGCTCTTTAAATTTACTGAGTCTATCCTTGGTCTACACACTTTCAGGGTATGTGGGACAACTGGAGAGGATCTGGACAAGAGCAAAAGCAATGTGCCAAAGGACTAGGTGATACATACTTTTTTAAGTTTAGAAAGCAGGAAGCCAATGAAGTAACATTCAGTAATTGTGGCACACCTAATATGTTAACAGTGTGCTATAACCATCTTCAAAAATTTAAATAAGAACAGAGCTGATGGCTTATTCTCCATTTCTTCTGAGAATGATAGAGGAAAGATAAGTTTATTAGACATAAAGAAAAACTGCTATGAATAAGAAATGATCATAGGCACGTAGCAAGTCCTCAACAGTTGCCAAATTGAATGAATGATTACTAAGGAAACACTGGTGGTCTTCGTCTTTCTGAAAACAGAGGGCTGGATTACATGACCTTTTGAGGTCTATTCAGTCTTTGTTTTTATGATTCTTTGATCGCTCTGTGTCTGATATTGCCAAACTTGGCCTCCTATAGGGTCACTATGAGTCAAAATCAACTCGATGGCACTGGATGTGGTTTGATTTTTGGTTTGGGGTGTGTGTATTTTGTGTGTCTATGTGTATGTATGTACTGCCAAATTAGAAGGCTCTCTATTTTCGGGGAGAGCTCTGGTAGCATAGTGCCTAAGGCACTTGACTGCTAACCAGGAAGCTGGTGGTTCAAACCCACCAGCCACTCCTCGGAAGGAAGGTTGGGCAATCTACTTCCATAGTGATACTGCCTTGGAAACCCAAGGAGGGGGGTCTCCATGAGCCAGGTCTGACTTGACGGCACATAACAACAACAACAACTATTTTGGGGACATTAAGACACTGCCTGTCCTCTAAGAACTCAAGGTGCTATAGTAAAACCAGTTCCAATCCTTCTTGGGACCCATTGATGAGACATGTCTTCACACCTTTAAAAGGTCTGGGTGGGAGAGGTGACCTCCAAGACAACCAGTATTCCAAAATCTAATTGACAGTCAGTGGTGTTCTTAGTAGCTAGCTCTGTTGCCCTTAACTTACAGGGCAGTTTTCACTTTTCCAAGAGGCCCTTAGGCACCCTTCTGATGGAGGTGGGGGAGGCTATCCAAATCCTAAAAGCATTTGGCTGCTCACCAGGAGGTTGGCAGTTCAAACCCACCAGCTGCTCTATGGCAAGAAGATGTGGCAATCTACTTCTGTAAAGATTTACAGCCTTGGAAACCTGATGAGGGTCACTGTGAGATAGAATCAACTTGATGGCAGGGGTTTGGGTTTTTTTGGTGGGGAGGGGCGGTGAAGGTTTAGAGTGTTCTTAGCCCTGTTGCTGACTGCCAGCCCTGAGCCCAGCTGAAAAGCTCAGCTCCTTGTTTGATGAGAGGCTGAGGATACACTTGGATTTTATTTCACATTACAAAAATCATTACTGCCTGGACCAGGTTCAGCCTGTATCCCTAGATTTATCTGGTTTCTATTTTAGTCCTTTGGGGAGCTAGACACAGCTATCTTGGCATCTGAATGTGTGGTTTGTGTGCAAAGGGCCAGAGGTTTGTTGCCGTGGAAATCTCCATAGGAAATGAAAATGGTTACCAGAACTGTAGGTCTGGCCTTGTACTAGTTTATAAATTGTGAGGGATAGAAGACACCCTCTTTGGGAAGCACACGGTCAGGAAGACAAAATTGAACCATGATAAAATGAATGAAATGTATAATCTAGTGTGTGACTTCAATTGTATGGTAAAGGTTAAAGGGGCTGGAGAATTTATGAAAAAGGCTAGGGTGGGATTTGGGTGGGTGGGTGGGTGGGTAATCGGCATTCAAGATGGGGAGAAAAGCCTCAGCCAGAGCATGGAGATGAGAAGACCTAAGGCGTGTTTGAGAAGTAGCAAGGAACTGAGCTGACTGAAATAGAGGGTTCAGGTTAAATGGTGGGAGACAGACCCAGTGGCCTCACCAGACCTGCTCTGTGCACTGGGCTTTCAGAACACTGATGCACAGAGAGGTTTAATAACCTGACAACACAGTTCCCCCTAGACTGCCCAACTTGTGAGAGAAAAATTGACATGGGGTCTTCTCCTCCTGGTTGCCCTGCCTGCCTTGGAAGCCAGTGACATCACTGGTAAAGACAGTCCCTTCTACTATTACTGGGAAGGCCTCCAACTTGGCGAAATGACCTGTCAGGGTTCCTGTACATTGTGGGAATCATCTTCACTTTGAGTAGCAAATGCAAGTGCATTCAGAAGCACAACCCCTTACCAGAGAAAACACTCCACTCATCGTTCCAGGCTCTGCCAGTAACTGCTGAGCCCAGGACCAGCTTTGTGGAACTCCATCACTTATCCTTCTCTCCTGACACCAGTCCTCCACCACATCCTCCCCATTTGGGGGCCTTAACCTCCAGGGCAGTTTTCACTTTTCCAAGAGGCCCTTAGGCACCCTTCTGATGGAGGTGGGGGAGGCTATCCAAATCCTATTTATAAATTAAAATGTTCTTCCCCCCCCAAAAAAAAAGAAAGAAGTTAAATGGTGGGAAAGCAGGTTGTAGAGTTCTTCATAATAGCAGGAGAGTTTAGGTGTGATTGGGTGAATGATGGGGATGCCCTCATGGAACTTGTTTGCTAATAATAGCTTTAGAGAGGAACAAAACATCCTCAGCTCCTAGGTGTTCCTTCTTTTTTGCAAGGAGAAGGATTTTCAGAGTAGAAAGGACCGAGTGAACATCAGATAGAAATTTCTGAAGACAGTCTAGTAGCTTCTCTGAGTACTCTCTCTCTCGGTCTGGGTCAGTACAGCTCAGGGCACTGAGAGGATTTGCAGCTCAAACTGCAGGATAACTAATGGTGGCTTTGCAAACCCCATGGAGAGTGGCAGAGGTACATGCTGGCAGCCTAGAGATTGGCAAACGTGGTCCCATATTTTTGCAAATGGGAAAGATGACTCCCACAAATAACAGAACAATACATTGATACTGATTCAGGGCAAGATTCTAATGATTAAAAAGAAGGTTGGTGAGCACTTAACAAAGGAAGCAAAGACCACTCAGCTTCTGCATGGATTTGGGAAAAAAAAATCATACCTTACACAGCTCATTTCATTTGATAGGATGACTAGATGGATAGATGAATGGAGTACTATACCCGTAGTGTATTTGGAGTTTGACAAAACATTCTAGCACAATATGGAAAGATGCAGGGTGGATTCTTAAGTGGCTGAATGACTACACACAAAAGTGTTCTTTTTTAATGTCACTAGATCAAATTTGCAAATTACACAAAGCTGAGAGATAGAGCCAAAAGGTGAGATGACAGAATAGATTTCATAGAGATGTCAAGAGGCTGATATGATGGACTCACTATAACCAAAAAACCAGACTCACTGCTGTCGAGTCGGATCCGACTCACAGCAATCCCTTCTTGGGTTTCCGAAACAGTAACTCTACGGAAGTAGATTGCCAGTCTTCCTTCCGAAGAGTGGGTGGTGGGTTTGAACTGCCAGCCTTCTGGCTAGCAGTCAGATGCCTTAGGCACTATGCTACAAGAGCTCCTGGACTCACTATAGCAAAATGGAAATTAACAGTGACAAAAAGAAAGTTCCTTATTTGAATTCCAAAATGTAATGGTACAAGTGTAGAATGTGAGAGATGATGTAGCTTAGGAGGCTTTTAATGTAAATGAAAGCTCACTATGAGTTATAAGCCAAAAGTAGATTTGTTTGCTACAGAAATTATTATGACTTTGGGCTGCTTTAATAGAGTATAATATCTAGAATAAAAGAGCTCATAACTTGTGCCACATTTCAGTGGTCAAACCACACCTGTTACTCTTCATGGGCACTACACTTCAAGGAAGATATTAACAAAAGCATATCCAGAGAAAAGTAATGAGAATCATGAGTGGACTGAGGAATCCCAAGAAAAAATTGTCCACTGTCACCAAATCATAAGGAAGAAGAGGCTGTAGATTTGTTCTGTGTGACTCCAAAGACTCCAAGATCTAATGGATGTAAGTATAGGGAAGCAGATTTTGGTTCAACATAAGGAAGATGCTTTTTTTTCCCTTTTTTATACTGAAAGAATAATTAAAAGTTTTGACTCATGACTCCAGCCTCTTGAAGTCCTTCAAGATTTATTAACAGTTTCAAAAGCAGAGAAGAAAAAAAATTCCTAACCTGAACACCCTAATATAAGCATTTGGCTGTTCCAGGAAGAATTTTCTAATGTTTAGTAGTATTCTTTGAAATTGGAATAGGTTGTCCTAAAAGGTAGACAGCTCTCCATCACCAGAGATACTCAAGCAGTGACTGGATAACCATTCAGTGTGGATAATGCAAAAGGGACTAAAGCATCTGACAAAGTGTTAATGAGATTTTACAATATCTGAGCTGGAAGATCCCATGGTAAAGTATTCAGGAAAAGATATCTGGAGACTAGGTGCAGGACAGGCTGGAGGAGGAGAGACTGGAAGCAAAGATAATAACTAGTTGAGAGGTACTTACTTGAGGGCTACAACTATTTTCACCTCCACCCCTCCCTACTTGAATGCCAAAATTAGTGTCAGAAGCAGCCTTAATGGTTGCCTAGTTCCCTCACTTATGTTCTGATGCTTGATTCCCTTCTTCAACCTCCTTGTCAAGTAGTTATCTGGCCTTTGCTTAAATACCTCCAGTAGTGGGAAAATCTCTTCTTAAAGAAAACCCTGCATATGTGGTCATCTCAAACCATCATAAAATTCTTATGTTGAGTCAAAATCTGTTTCCCCATAGCATCTACTCTTTGCTCTTAATCATGCCCTCTTACAAAGCAAAACAAGTTGAGTCCCTCTTCTATATTAAGGACCTTCCAATATTTGAAAACTGGATCCTGAACCACCGTCATCACCCTGTTGATCCCTTCTCCATATTAAGTGGCTCCAGTAATTCATATACAATGATTTTGAAGTCCCCTCACACTTCTAGTCCCTCTCTTTTGTACATGTTCCAGGTTGCTAATGTCCCTGTTCATGTATGGTATCAAAGATTAAAAACAATCCTGCACTGTGGCCTAATGATGAGAGAGGAAAGCAGAACTAAAATCCCCCTTATTCTAGACATGAATTCATTAGCATTTTGGGCTGCTAGTGTCAAAAATAACCAGCTTACAGTCACCTCAAACACCGAAAACCTTTTCACACAGATTGTTATTAAACCATGTCTCTCCTACCTTGCACTTACACATTTGATGAACTCAAATATGAAATTTATGTTTTATCTTCCAGTTCATTACAGACTTTGAAGATCTTTCTGAAACCAGCTTTATGTCATTTATAAATTTGATTAGCATGCCATCAATATCCTGATACAAGTCATAAATTATTAAACAGGCCAGGGACAAGATAGAACTCTTTAGTATACCACTCCCTCCAGGCTGACAAAGATTCATGAGTGACTGACCACTCTTTGGGTATAGCTGTTGAGCTACCCATGAATACACTTTATTCTCCTATTGTCATCCCACATTTTCCCTTCTTATTCACAAGAACATCTCACACCAGGGCATTCTTTGACAAAATAAGATTGTTTTCTGAAATTCTCCTTTGAAATAAGAGAATGAAGAGGAAAAGGGAAATGGGGATGAAATGAGAGGAGTTTGACCTTTAGATCTTCTCATCTCCTTTTCCTGTCCCCAGTATGAGCCCCATGGCTTCAGTCTCCATCAAGAAATTTCTAGCTCAGGTATAAAAACTTGAACGGGTCAGAAAACCTGCATTTGAATCCATCTCTGCCTCTTCCTAGCTACATAACCTTGGACAAAGTTGTTTAACTTTCCTGATTCTGTTTGCTCATCTATAAAATAAGAATGATAACATCTACCTCACAGGGTTGTTGTGAGGATTAAATAAGAAAATGTATGTGAATGTGCTTTTTAAACTGTAAGTGCTATACAAATGTAAGATATTATTATGATTTATTGAATGCCTACTGTGTTCATCACTGTGGGGCATAAAAAGAAATGATATGGTCCTTGTCTTCAGTTAGGGAGTTCACAGTTTTGTAGGGGTGTATGGTTCACAAATAACCATAACATAAAGTAGAAGAACAGGGCAAATGGCACATAAGGAGTATGAGTTGTTACTAATTTAGACTGGGAGAAATCGAAGGCTCCATGAAGTTTGATCTGAACACGCAAGACACACAGAAATGGCTGAGAAAGGACAGTATTCCAGGTGGAGGAGCCTAGGAATAAAAATTCATGGGGTATGTTTGAGGTGCTGGATGCAGTCCTATTTGACTATAAAAGGCAATAAGGCTGGTCTGCCACATCACACCAGCATGCCCATGACAGCAGTCATTCAGAAGAGGGACCAGAATTTGAGCAAAGCCCCTTAAGTCTCATGTCTGTTGTTCTTCAACTGACCTCCTTGAAGAAAAATAACTCTTTGGAAGGTGGAGTCATCTGAAAATATCCCAGGAAAAACACCTTTTCTTTTATCTAGAACTGAGAAATAGGTCTGGAGAAGGCAGGGACTAAAGCCATATTTAAATCGTAGGAATCTACAGCTGAAAGTGGCTCTAGCTTAGGGATTCAAGCATTTTCATTGAATGATGATTCTTTACTTATCCACAACATCTGAAAGACTTATTATTCAATTCCATGTGGGGAGCAGGGAAAGGGGAAAATAGCTCAAGGGCTCTCAAGGTCCATTTTCTGAGGGGGTTTTTGGAGTGCTGGTTATGATTTGGTGCCACCTGGTGGCAGATCTATAATATAGCACACTGTTGTAGCAATATCCTTCCCCTCCTTCATCTGTTTAGAGCACCCAGCACCCTCCAGTAGGATAGAGCCAGCTATTCAGGGCACTCCTGAAGAGAGAAAAAGAGAAAGTGTTGTTCTAGGCCTCATGGCCATCCTTTCTTATTAAACTAAAGTTTTTATTTTCCCCAAGGTACGCCTGGAATTGTGTATTTTCCCCCAGAATACTACAGGATTATATTTGCCATGTCTCTCCCCTCCCACCCACTTCAACTCACAGAAGCTCTCTTATGATTATTGGAGTATCTGTAACAAATGATACAAGATCTCTCTTTCAGTGTTGACCAAGAGAAATTGTTGTGAGCCTCTAAAGTGACCAAAGCAGTGGCAGTAAAAGGATCTAGTTGCCCACAAGCCTCCCAGAGCCCTCTGAGCCTATATTGTTCTAGAATGACTGAGTCCAAACTCCTCCACCATAAACCTGTTCCCTTAAGGCTGTACTTTGGATTCCTACAGCCAGTCTAGAAAGTTAGGGGAGGGAGAAATGAGGCCTTGGAGAATAGGAGAGTTGGTGGCCC